TTCAAGAACTTTCCATTTATCGGACCAATTCTTAAACCATCTTCGGCAACCAACTTGTACGCTCCATTTGTGTATGCTTCTTTGACGACATAAGGACCATCCCACTTTGAAGTAAATTTATTCCCCGTTTTGTGAGTGACGATGATGGGCCTCCTTACGGCAAGTACTAAATCTCCAACTTGAAACGATCTTGGCCGCACCTTCTTGTTAAACGCCCTAGAAAGACGAGCTTGGTAGCATTCAATACTTTGTTGTGCCTCTAATCTTTTCTCGTCAAGGGCTTCCAATTCTGCAAGACGCAAACGGGCATTTTCTTCTTGAGTGAGTTCTTCTTGTATAGCTATCCTCAATGATGGAATTTGTTTTTCAAGAGGCAAGACTGCTTCCACACCGTACACCAACGCATATGGAGTGGCTTGAGTAGGTGTTCTATACGTTGTTCTATAAGCCCATAAAGCTTCTCCCATCTTTTCGTGCCAATCGCGTTTTGACTTGGCGATCACTTTCTTCAGCAAATTACATAAAGTCTTGTTGAAGGCCTCAGCGAGTCCATTGGCAGCAGCGTTGTACATTGAAGACTTTCTTTGCTTGAAGCCAAACTTTTCACAAAGTTTATCTATCACACCGTTGCAGAATGGCTTTCCGTTGTCTGTGATCACATATCGAGGAACTCCGTAACGGTAGATGATGTTGATGCGGATGAAATCAGCAACGTTCTCCTTCTTTACTTCTCGAAGAGGCACTGCTTCAGCCCATTTGGAAAAGTAGTCTGTTGCTGCCAAGATATAGAGATGTCCAGCGGAAGACTTTGTCATAGGTCCAACCACATCCAAACCCCAAGCATCAAAGGGCCATGAGGCAACAATAGGGTGTAATGGCTCCGGCGGTTGATGAATAAAGTTTGCATGAAATTGACAAGGTTGACATTTTTGGGCATACTCCATGCAATCCTTTATCATAGATGGCCAATAATAACCCATTCTTTTTATTCGGAAATGTAATTTGGGTCCTGACTGATGGGCGCCGCAAATTCCGGAATGAGCTTCTTCCATGGCTTGAACGGCTTCGTCATCACCTAAACATCTCAAGAAGACTCCATCAAATGAACGTCTATAAAGTGTATCTTTGTAGTAGATGAAACGAGCCGCACGACGTCGTATATCAACTCTTTGACGTGGATCATTAGGCAACTTTTCGTACTTCAAGTAATCCACAAATGACTGACGCCAATCTTCTTTCTCGACTTCAAACACGTAAACCGCTCGAGTTTCGTCTTCTTCAATTTCTTCATGTGCAAAGATTGGTGGTACGACCCACCTCTTGAAAATTGGTATACGATTTCCGTCTTCGGGCATGGCTAAAGTAGAAGCAAGTTTTGCCAATGCATCTGCTTGTTTGTTATCTTTTCTTGGCACATGCTCTATAGTCACATCACCAAGGTATCCGATAAGTCTTTTAGCATAATCCACATAAGGGAGTAAATCGAGCTTCTTTACTTCGTACGATCCGAGTATCTGATTGATCACCAACTTGGAGTCTCCGTATACCTCCAAATTTAGTTTCTTTATATCAACTGCCATTTCTAGCCCAAGGATAAGAGCTTGATATTCAGCAACATTGTTAGAGCAATTTTGTGTTAAGGTAAAAGAGTGAGGCAACACTTCGCCGTTGGATGTGACGAATACTACTCCGGCGCCCGCTCCTTCTCTGTGAGAAGCTCCATCAAAATACATCTTCCAAGGAGGACTAGCTTCAATCACGAGAACATCTTCATCGGGTAGATCATCGGATAACTCCCACTCTGCAGGGATAGGGTGATCCGCCAAGAAATCGGCTAGAATTTGTCCTTTCACAGCCTTTTGTGGAATATATGTTATGTCAAACTGCTGCAATTGCAGGTACCACCTTGCAAGTCTATCGGATAGAACGGGTTTTGTCATGACATACTTTAGAGGATTCATCCTTGAGATTAGGCGGACCACATGCGCTTGAAAATAATGCTTCAACTTTTGAATTGCAAAAATGAGCGCTAAACATGTCTTTTCGATTGGCGAATAGTTCAATTCATTTGGTGTCATTGTTCTACTCAAGTAGTATAAGGCGCTCTCTTTTCCATCATCATTCTCATGCGCTAGTAAAGCTCCGACAGATCGTTCTTGAGCAGCAATATAGAGTATTAGCGATCATCCGGGCACTGGTGCGATCAACACAGGGGGCTTCGTTAAATACGATTTTATGCTTTCAAATGCACTAGTGCAAGCTTCATCCCATTCAAAGGGAACATTTTTCTTCATGAGTCGGCTGAATGGTTGACATCGACCGACTAAGTTTGAAATGAACCTTCTTAGGTATGCCAACTTTCCTTGCAAACTTTTGAGCTCATGAATGTTCCTAGGCTCGCGAATCTTTAAAATTGCATCAATCTTGGCTTGTTCGATTTCTATGCCTCGGTGACGAACTACGAATCCAAGAAACTTCCCCGAAGTAACACCAAATGCACATTTCAATGGATTCATCTTCAATTGGTACCTTCTCAAGCGCTCGAAGACTTTTCTCAAATTTTGGAGATGATCTTCCCTTCTTTTGGATTTAACTACCAAGTCATCCACATAACATTCAACATCTTTATGGAGCATGTCATCAAATATCTTCTGCATGGCTCTTTGGTATGTAGCACCGGCATTTTTCAAGCCAAATGGCATCACTTTATAGCAATAGATGCCCTTAGGAGTGCGAAAGGCTGTTAATTCTTCGTCTCTCGGCGCCATTCGTATTTGATTGTATCCTGATGACCCATCCATAAATGATAATGCTTCGTGGCCCGTAGTAGCATCAATCATTAGTTCGGCTATTGGCATTGGAAAGTCGTCCTTAGGGCATGCTTCGTTCAAATCTCTAAAGTCAACACATACACGAATTTGTCCATTCTTCTTTCTGACAGGGACAATACTTGAAATCCATGTTGGGTACTTGACTTCTCGAATGAAACCAACATCAATAAGTTTATTCACTTCAGCCTCAATTGCAGGGACTAATTCAGGTCTAAATCTACGTTGGCCTTGCTTTACAGGGCGAGCTCCTTTCTTCACGGAGAGATGATGTATTGCCACTTTTGGGTCCAATCCGGGCATTTCTTTATAAGACCATGCAAACACATCCTTGAACTCGTGCAACAATTCAATATAAGTCTCCTCTTCGTTGACAGCCAGTAAAGCGCTAATGTAGATTGGTCGAGGATTCTCCGCATCTCCTAAATTAATTTCCTTTAACTCATCGATGGTGGCTTTGACTCCTTCTTCAAGCTCGGGTGGAGCAATTTCAGCGTCTTCCTCCTTAATCACGTCTATTTCACTTAAAGTGATATGATACGATGATGCCACACTTTCTCTGTCATCTTCCTCGTCGTCTTGGATTTTTGTAAAGACGACAGTTCGCATTTTAGCCTTCAACTCTTCACCACATGATATGGTCAAATAAGTACGCCGTTTCATGCGAGATGGAATTGAACTTCGAATCCTTCGTGTTTTGGTGATTTTAGTATTAGAGACACCCACATCTTGCTTGTTCTTTCTGTTATGCCCCCACTTTCTAAGTGGTCCAAGCCTATCAAAGACGGATGGAGTAAGTCTATCAAACCCTCGTTTGTCGCCTTTTCCATGCCCCCACTCTCTAAGTGGTCCAAGCCTATCAAAGACGGATGGCGCAAGTCTGTCGAAGACAGATGGTGTAAGCCTATCAAAGACGGATGTCCTTCTCACTTTTGTTTTACTTTCAAGAAAATCGTCTGTTGATGAGAATTCATCTTCGATTATGTAATTACTGGTGGCTCTATTGATAGCAATACGAATTGGCTTTTGTGGAACAAATCCAAGACCAACTCTAGGACTTTGAATAGCATGTCCCTTTTCTTTCAACATTATCTGAGTAGTATTGAGGCCATGCATCTTTTCGCCAACAACTTCGGCAGGAAGTCTTCCAAGCGTAGAATCTTCACGTGGGTTGAAACCAGCTTTCACTAAGAGTTTATAAGCATTTGGGCCAAAACATTTTGTCATTTGGGACTCGGAGAATTCTTTGCATTCCTCTTGGGTTCCTTCTGTGGGATGAACGGATCTTTTAGGTGGTTGAGAAGTTGATCGCTTCTCGTCAATTGGTGTTAGGGGAAACATCAAATATTTTAAAGCCTCACACGCTAAATGAGCATTGTCTTGATTATTTCTTCGCTTTGGTTCTTCAACTGGTAGAATCTCTTTCGCCTTTACCGTCTTTTCATCATCAAGATAGTACTTAGCATCGGCAAAGTGGGCTTCTGCCTCGGTGAACGGTTTATCATCGGTGAGTATTGTTTTAACTACTCCGTCTCGACAATACTTGAAACATTGGTGCCAAGAAGAAGGAACCACACTATTCTCATGTATCCAAGGTCGTCCGAGAAGCATGCGATATGAGGTTCTTGCATCAATGACATGGAATAGTGCGGTGGACAACATATCATTCAGTAACAACTCTATCCTTATGATACCAATGGCCCTTTGTCCTTCTTGATTAAATCCTTGGATCATCAAGCGACTAGTTTTGAGCTCCTCCGTGGAGATTCCCAATTCCTTTAAAGTCTGCAACGGCAAAATATTGACTGCAGAACCTCCATCGATTAAAATCCTATTCACCTTCTGCTCACGAGCGTAGCCGGCAACAAACAATGGCCTATTGTGTGGTTTGGAACCAAGAAGTAAATCTTCATCAGCGAAAGTCATCGTTGACATGCATTTACCAATCACGGTACAAACTTCATTTGGAGACGGAGTCGTTCCACTAGCAGCGGTCTCCTTTTCACTTATCGCGTTGCATGAGATGTTGATACAATCATCATCTCCTCCGTGTACGTTCGTTGTTGTCATGTCAAGGGACTCAAAAGTGCTGACGATAAAATTTGTAGTGGCGCTGATCTCTTCAAGTGATATCTTCCCTTGGCGAGCTAGCTGCATAACTTTATCTTTGAATACGAAGCAATCATGAATTGGGTGTCCGACCAACCGATGATACTTGCAGTATTTTGGGTCATCGGTCTTGTTAGCTTCTTCGGGGCGCTTCATTTCAGGCAACTCGATAAGTTTTAAACCTAGCAAATCGTCAAATATTCCAGCCACATCAGTGTCGAGGAATGGATATTCCCTTGCCTGCATTTCTTTTAGAGTAAGTCTTCTTCTTTCTTGGGAAAAATCTTGTTTTTCCTCATTGTTTCCGTTCACTTTTCCTTGAAATTTGATAGGGGTCGCATTCACTGCCAAAGATTCTTTGCCTGAGGTTTTAGAGAAAACTCTACCCCCCTTCCGAAAGTCCTGTTTTTCTTTCAACTGTCGAGGCTCTTGAACTGGTGGTCCCTCAACTCCACTAGCCATAATGCTCAACTCCATGTCGTGCGCTCTAGTGGCCAACTCTTCAAAACTCTTAGGTTGAATCCCTTGCAGGATGTATCGGAGTCCCCATTGCATTCCTTGGATGCACATCTCGATAGCTGAAGCCTCTGACAATCGGTCCTTGCAATTCAGGCTTAAATTCCTCCAACGGTTAATATAGTCAATGACGGCCTCTTCTTTCCATTGGCGAGAGTTTGTGAGCTCGATCATGCTCACTGTTCTTCGGGTGCTGTAGAAGCGATTCAAAAATTCTTGCTCCATTTGACTCCAACTGTCAATTGAGTTTGGCTCTAGGTCCGTATACCAATCAAAAGCATTCCCCTTCAATGATCGAACGAATTGTTTCACGAGATAGTCTCCGAAAGTCCCGGCGTTGTTACAAGTTTCAACAAAATGTGCCACATGTTGTTTCGGGTTACCCTTGCCATCAAATTGCTGAAATTTCGGGGGTTGGTAACCAATTGGCATCTTCAAGTCGTCTACTCTTAGAGTGTATGGCTTGGTATATGTTGACGACGATTTTGAACCCTCATTGAATTTGTCTTTGATAGTCCCCATGATGAACTCCTTCAATTGGTCTATAGGAACCAACCCCTCTGACGAAATCTGGAATTCTTCAGCCGGGCTCTTCTCCCTTTCGATTGGATGTCGCCTTGCAGAAGTTTCAGCTTCGGTATGATTTTCGCCTTGTTTTCCCATGTCGTGACTATCGTCAACCTTGCCCCGCAACATCGCGATTTGGGAGTCTTGTTCTTGAATGTGCTTTGTTAACCCTTCAATGGCCTTGGTCAAGATCGCCATCTGCTCCTCCATGGTCGTAGCATGTGTTGTCATGACGGGAGCCGCTTCAGAGTAGTTTGATGCTGAAAGGGACGTGGATGATGAAGCTTCTCCTCTAGATCCTTCCACGCCTCCACCTATGTTGACGAGAGGTGACGAGCCTTCTTCGATGACTTGGGGCGTCGAGCTAGTCTCGGAGGATGTCTGCAGTTTCTTAGCCATACTCCTTGTAACTACACCCATGCTTGATGAATTTGAAGTAGCGGCCTTCATCGTGAACATAGAGCAGTCACTGCAACACTTTGAGGATCTTCGAGAGAGAGAAGAGATGAGAGGTAGAGAGGTCCCACCGGGCGTGCCAAAATTTGTAACAACAAATTCTTATCTACGATATAAACAAACAAGAAAAATTGAACAAAGATGATTTTATTGAATTAAAATAAATAAATTGCGGGTTACAATCTCTATTTTAATCCTCTGATTCTTCTCTCTAGAACAATATATAGTTGACTTGAATTTTCGGAGTCGGGTTGTTGACTTGATCTTCTCCGGATTTGATTTTGGATTTGAATAACGTTTTCTGAGGGTCTTGCGACTTGAATCTCGGATCGAACGTTGAACTTTGACTTGATTTGACTTGAAGATCTTGAAATTCTTGATGGATTTGGCCCTTCAATCTTCCGGTGATCTTGACTTGAATTGATTAACGTTAATCCGAAGGTTTGGCACCGTTATCTCGGATCGAACGCTAGATTTTGATGAAGACTGCCTTGAACTTGCTCAAGAACACTTTGAATGTAGACGAAGAACACTTTGAATGTAGAGAGATAATCTTACCTCCTACGGATTCTTCTTCCTTGCTTCTTGAGTTGTAGAGAGAATTTTGCTCCTACGATTTCTGCTCCTTCAGTTGTGTTTGAATTGTGTAGGGAGGGTCCCTATTTATAGTGGTAGAATAAGAGTTCTACTCAAAGTCCACTTGATGACGTGGCGCGATTTGATTGGCTCTCTTTAAATTGATATTTATCTCTTATAACTTGGAAGAGAAGAAATAATCTGATTGGCCAATAATTAATTGATATTTATTTCTTATAACTTGGAAAAGAAGAAATAATTCTATTGGCCCATATATATTTAAAATCAATCATATATTTAAATTAGGAATTAATTTAATTAAATCCCTAGATTAAAAATAGACAATATGTAATCGATATTTAAATATAGATACCAATATACGGCATATAATCTTGATTTGATTTGTATTTAATTATTTAATTACGGAATTGCCATCGGCCATAGAATTTAAATAGAATTCCTTGTTTCGTAATTGCACAATGGTCCCTTTCTTTTGGATAAAATTTATTTATCTACACCTACTTTTATTAAATGTTTAACCATTAATTCTCTTAATAGTAGTAAGGGTACAGTAGAGAAAATACAATAAATATTTTATTGGAATCCTAAAGTGATAATTATTTTAAAATGAAAAAAATTCTCTAGAAAGATAATTAAAATGGAATGGAGGGAGTAGGAATTATTTATGGAGTTTTTGTGCACAAGTCTCTCACCAACCATCTTTATTATTTTAGGTTTAAGGACTATATCTCTTTCGTCAATAAGCTCATCCGTTTGATATGTATTATAAATAAAGGAAAAATTAATGATATGACAAAATTACGCCCAACCCTTTACACTCAATTCTTAATTGTAAGCCCAATTTAATCAATTTTGACCACAAAAATCCAATTTTTACTTTTTTTTTTCTTTTTAAAACTTGTTTTTTTCTGAAATTATTTTTTTGCGGCCAGTTTCCGGCGTTGACTTATTGGATTTTTAATTTTTTTTAATTTTTTTTCTCCTAAAATGTTTATCCTTTTTTTACGTCCGCCGCTAAACGTTGACCGTAATTGTACTCTCATTAACATTAATTATACTGTCGCTGACAATACATTAACGTAATTATACTGTCGTTGACAATATATTAACGTAATTGTATTGTCGTTGCCAGTAAATTTATGTAATTATACTGTCGTTGACAGTATAATTAGAGTCAACGACGATAATATTATTTTTTTGCTTTTTTCTTTTTTTTTTTTGAATTTTGTTTGATTTGTTAACAAGTCAATGAAATTATATTACTGTAAAATAACCGTAAAAACAATAATATTACTGTCAACCACATCAACATTATTATTTTTTTTGGTTTTTTGTTTTGTTTGAGTTGTTGACGAAGTAACGTAATTATATTACTGTCTATTATTGTGATATTACTGTAAATACAATAATATTAATGTGGTTGATGGTAATATTGTTGTTGTTACAGTAATATTACTGTCAACCACATAAATATTAATTCTTTTGGCTTTTTATTATGTTTACCTTTGTAGAACGGTAAACATATTAATATTACTCTATTATAAAATAATAATGACTTTTGTTGTGTTAATATTACTGTGCTAGAGATTAATATAACAATATTGCTGTGTTAAATTGTAGTATAGTTAATATTACTGTGTTTAATAGTAATATAGTTAATATTACTGTCAACCACAAGAATATTGCTATTTAAACGGGGGCAAAAAGATGTTAAAGAAAAAAAAAATCAAAGAAAAAACAAAAAAGTCAACGCCGGAAACTGGCGGAAAAATCAGAAAGAAAAACAAAATCAATGCCGGAGATCGGTGGTCAACGGCGGCGACGGACGAAATTGTCCATAAAATTGTGTTTTCGGTCAAAATTGAATAATTTGTGAAATTTGAGGTCAAATTGATGTTAGATTAAATTAAAGGATGAAATTGGAGGATATTAAAATGTGAGATTTTATTTTAGTCTTTTACAAACCTTTGGACAATGTGTGGATTTTTTTGTAAAAGAGTTTTTTTTGGTCCATTTTATAAATAAGTACCCATTGATGAGCTTATTTGTAAGGGGTTTTTGTGCCTACGTCTCTAACCAACCATCTTTATTATTTTAGGTTTATGAGCTATATCTCTTTCGCCAATAAGACCATCCATTTAATATTTTATTATAAATAATGGAAAAAATCATGTATATGACAAAATTACCCCCAACCCTTTACACCCAATTCTTAATTGTAATCCCAATTAATCAATTTTGACAACAAAAATCCAATTTCGACTTTTTTTTTTCAAAAATTAATTTTTGGCCACTGGTTTCCGGCGTTGACTTTTCGATTTTTATTTTTAATTTAATTTTTTTCTGGTCTGTTTTTTCCGCAGCCGGTCTCCGACATTGACTTCTTTTTAGTGTTTTTTTTTGCCCGCCGCTAAACGTTGACCGTAATTGTGCTGTCATTAACAGTAATTATACTGTCACTGATAGTTAATTAACGTAATTATACTGTCACTGACAATACATTAACGTAATTGTATTGTCGTTGACAATACATTTATGTAATTGTACTGCCATTGATAATACAATTAGACTCAATGACAATATTATTATTATTTTTTTGTTTTAATTTTGTTTGATTTGTTGACAAGTCAACGTAATTATATTACCGTCGTTGACAGTAAAATAACTGTAAACACAATAATATTACTGTCAACCACATCAATATTATTACTTTTTTGGGTTTTTTTGTTTTGTTTCAGTTATTCACGGAGTAACGTAATAATATTATTGTCTATTAATGTAATATTACTGTAAACACAATAATATTACTGTGGTTGACGGTAATATTACTGTTGTTATAATAATATTACTGTGACTCACAGTAATATTAATTCTTTTGGCTTTTTACTATGTTTGCCTTTGTTGAACGGTCAACATATTAATATTAATCTATTACGCAATAAGAATGAGTTTTGTTGTGTAAGTATTACTGTGCTAGAGATTAATATAACAATATTATTGTGTTAAATTGTAGTATAATTAATTTTAATGTGTTAAACTGTAGTATAGTTAATTTTACGGTGTTTAACAGTAATATTAGTTAATATTAGTGTTAGTCACAACCATATTGCTGTTTAAACGGGGGGCAAGAAGATGTTAAAGAAAAAAAATTCAATGCCGGAGACCGGTCGTCAACGGCGGTGACAGACGGAATTGTCCATAAAAATGTGTTTTGGATTAAAATTGAATAATTTGTGAAATTTGTGGTCAAATTGAGGTTATATTTAATTAACGGATAAAGTTGGAGCATATTAAAGTATGAGGGGCTAATTTAGTCTTTTACAAACCTCTGGACCATGTGTGGACTTTTTTGTAAAAACATTTATTGTCTGGAGCTCTTTATGAATAAGTATGCATTGATGAACTTATTTGTAAAATGCCCATTTTTTTATTTTGATATAGTGTTGCTTTATCTATATAGATATGATTTGAATAGTAATGTCAATTAGAATAGGAGTTGGATATGAGTCGTAAGTAACTTGAGTAGTAGTTTATTAGATTATATTTCTAGCTTTTACATTATAAATAGGCTATTAGGGTTTTATTAATATCATTCAGAAAAATATATTTCAATAAAACTTAAGTTTTTACATTATAAATAGGCTATTAGGGTTTTATTAATATCATTCAGAAAAATATATTTCAATAAAACTTAAGTTTCGCACGATTTATGTATGATACCTAAGATATTGTATCACATATTTCAGTAGTCGATCGCGAGTCATGACCCAACTATGGCTCCATAATGATAACATTTCAGTTTTCACTTCTATGGAAAATTTATAATTCGATTTGATATAAACTTTTAAATAGTGTTCGAAAAGGTTTTATATAGTATTTTATCACCTTATAGAAAAATATTTTGAACTAACCACCAATAAAATTACACCCTATGGTATATCCCCTGACATTGTTCATTTTTTTTCTTCTAATTTTACATATCCCTCAGTTACTTGAAGTACATAAATTACCCCCATAGAATCCGTTTTAAACCCTAGAAAATTCACAACCGTCTCTTTCTTTCTCTTCCACTTACATGTAGGTTTCCAACCGACATATGTTGATTCTTGGAGTCATAACTCTCCCTCTAGTGGTCGGAATTTGATGGTCTAACTACCAATAGATTTCTCTCGTCGTGCTCTTTCTTTTGGTAGTAACTTCATACAGTTTGGAGCTTTGGATCAGTTTCTGCAATCGTTGTACTATGCACGCGTATTTTGGCGATGGCGGATCTTCGTAGAGGGGTAATTTGTTTTCCGACAGTCGCAATTTGAAGGGCTACTAACCGTTGGATTCCTCTCGTGGAGATCTATCTTTTGATGATAAGTTCCTAGAATTTTGATTTTCAGATTTATTTA